CGGCCGCGCCTCTGGACGCGGGGCCACGGGAAGGTGCGTCCCCGCGCCCCTGACAGCCTGCGGGGTCCTGCCCCCGCAGCCCGTCCCAGGGCGCCAGGAGGTGGCTGGGCCGGCGCCTCTCACAGGGGTTCTCACGCTGCGGCTGCGTGACCGCACCTGCAGGCTTGTGGCGACGCGAGGGGCTGGGCCCCAGCCCAGTCTCCTATCTTGCAGATCTGAGGCGGGGCTGAGTCACGGCTGGGGTGCGCCAGGCCGCTCTGGCTCTGGAGGGAGGGAGGGAGGGAGGGTCGGTCTTGTCCCGATTTCTGTGACCGGCCGGCAAGGGAGAAAGGCGGGAGGCAGAAAGGCTGAGCAAGTAGAGCTTACTGCTCCCGGGCAGCAGCTGAGACGGAGCCCCTAGGGTGGGGGCCGCAGCTCCTGCCCGCGCTATGGGGAGAAGGGGCTCCTATAGATTCTGGGTTCAGATTCCAAAGCGGGGACTCATCGCTGTGCCCCCTGCTTTACCTAGTCCCACCGGTAGTTGTGTATCTTGTGTGTCGCTGCACCGGGTCGTCCCCAATAGGGACACGCTGCAGCCGGCCGCCCTGCGAGGCACTGCTGGCAGGCTGTGCCTGCAGGCGCGTGGCCTCTCCCTCCGGGCTGCCCCGAGCCCCGGGCACTCCCTCAGGGGCCAGGGGGAGGCAGGCTGCGAGCCCGGTGGGCGGTGGGCGCCGATTGTCTCCCAGTCCCCAGACCCGAGGGGACCAGCGGGTGGGGGCTGCCCCTAACTGGAGCGACCAGGGGCCTGGGCGGGCATGTCCCCCAGGCTGCTGTGCCCCTGCCACCCTGGGCGGCCGCCCCTCCCGCCTCTGGGCACGTGGCCAGGGGTGCCGCCCTGAGTGTGAGCCCAGCCCCAGGTGTGAGCCCAGCCCCGTGCCTCCTGCTCTCCACAGCCACGCTCCTCTCCCAGCTGCCAGCTGCCGGTCCTTTCCCGTGAGAAGCGCCCCTCGCCCCTCCCTCTGGCCCCTGGCTGGCTGGGCCTCGGGGGGCCTCGGGCTCGAGCCGTGCCCGGGGCCTGGGTCCCCCACGTGGGCCTCCTCTGCCAGTGCCGCCAGGGCGCGGAAGGTGATGTCCGTGCGGGCACGGGGGTCCTGCTCAGCCTGGCGCTGCTCTGGGGCACCTCCGTCCCGGAGCCTCGCTCACAGAGGCTTTGGAGGGGATGCCTGCGGGACTGTCTCCTCTTGGCAGAAGGCGGTGGGGGTACCTGGTGGGGCTGGGGCCTAGGGGCAAAGGTGGCTTCTCGGGAGCTTCCGCCCGCTCCCCATGCAGGCGCTGTACCTGGCTCTGCCTTCTGCCCAGTCCCCAGCTGTGCTGCTTCTGTGAGCCTGGGGAGCATGCCTGGTCCTTCCTGGCCAGTGTGGGCAGTCATGGGGAGCCATACTAGAGCGTGGCTGTGCCCAGGTATTTTCAGTCAGTGGCCAGCCCCTGGGAGCTACTCTGGCCAGCTGCACTCACTCAGAGCTGTGGCCATGCCCCACATTGTCTTGGCCCTGGGGTGTAGGTGGTGGTGCATTGCGGTTAGGAGCATAGGCTGTCACCCTTCAGCCTGCCGCAAGATGGGTGCTGGGCCCGCCAGGTCCTGTGGTGTCCCAGCTGGCGCTGGCCTTGCACAGCAGGAAGTCAAAGTGGCAGCATCCCCTGCCCTGCCCAATGCTGAGGTGCTTCCCTCAAACTGGTGGGGAGCCTTGAACAGGGGGCTCACGAGGAGTAAATTTGGGGCTCCTTCCCGTACACCCCTTCCTGGGGTCCCCAGATGGGTGGCTGTGGTGTGCGGGTGCAGACCCTTCAGCCCTGCCAGGCCCCACTCCACCTGCCTGGTCCCTGCTTAAGTCGCTTGCCTCATCTCCCCGGGCATCTCTACCGCCTCCTGTGCCCCTTGTACCTGCTAAGCCTTAGGGGGAAGTGCCCAGAGATGGCCCCCAGCCAGGGAATGGGGGTCGAGCTGTCTGACGTAACCTCAGAGCCCTCAGGAGCTTTCTGGTGAGCATTTAGTCAGAGGCGGAAGGCTTTTGGCCCTTTGGGGGCCCACCAAGCCCTCAGGACCCTTGGAGCCATTGCAAGCCTTTGGGTTGGGGGACCTAGAGCCCTAGGGTACCTTTAGAGATCAGAAGCCTTTGGGGCTGGGCAGTGGCCCCAGAAACACTGGGAGCCCGCTGCTGGGCCGGGGCTGCTTCCTAGGGAATGGATGAGAAGGGAGGGTGTCAGGATAGCAGCTGCTCTGCCTTCCTCCCCCAGCCCCACAGCAGAGCGGCTGCCAGCTCACCTAGCTGTGCTCTCCAGGCCCCAGGCCAAGAGGAGCCCCTTCCCTTTTCTCAGCCTCCAGCTGCTGGCTGCCCAGTCCCTTCTGGCAAGCTGCAGGTCCCCAGTGTGCACGCCGCAGCCCATGCCGGTTCTGCTGGACCCCACTGGCTGCACTGGCCACGCCCCGCAGGCTGCAGGCGCAGCAGCTCTGCACCTGAGTGCTGGAGGGCAGAGGCCCGAGCTGCGGCTTCCTCCTCTGGGCAGACGCGCCCGCCCGAATGAGCTGCTGAGTGCGCCTCGCCGCTGCCCCTCTGGGTCCTGGCGCACTGGCCAGACTGTTGCTCGCACCTCCATACCCTGTTGTTGCTGACAAGGTGGCGCGCCCTGCAGGGAGAATGCAGCCGGCCTGGCACTGGAGGCCACATGGGCGGGGGTGCCTGGGGGAGCAGTGAGGAAACTAGAAGTGACTCATTCCTTTCTCCTTCCATGTGTTTCAAAGGCATAAAAACTGCGTATCGCTTTAGGGTCCCACACACAGTAAAGTGGGGAGACTAGGATAGAGCCAAAAGAAATGGCCAGAACAGGCATCAGGCAACTGCAGCCCGGCCCTGACAGGAACTTCCCTGGGGGCTAGGAGGCCCAACATTTGAGAGTCCAGGACGCAAATGCAGGTACCACATGGGTGCTGTGCCCACTGAGAGGGGCTCGGCAGAGCATGGGGCACTGGTGACCCAGTGCCAGCCCCCTAGCCCCAGAGGGCCAGGGCGCATGTTCTCCAGGGCCTTCCACCCCAGGTGCCCGAGCGCCCAGACAGAAGGGTCCGCGGCAGGACCCTGTCCACGAGAATGCACTGGCGCGCGAACCAGAAGTCAGCAAGTCCCCTGCAGCACCAAGGCCTGGCCCAGAGACTGGGGCCTTTCTGGCCCCTGCCCCGAGCGCAGCTCTTCCAGGTTGCAGCCTGGCCCGCGGCTCCGAGGGGCTTTAGGGGCTCTCTGCTAAGTAGCCCTAAGAGTTCTCTGGGAGTGAGTCAGAGTGGGCCCCAGAAACAAGGCCCCAAGGTACCCAAAGACGGGATGGGAGCCCTGCCCCAGAACCCAGCAAGAGGGCAGCGCCCGCATAGCTGCGGGGGTGAGGGCCGGAGCCCCTGCCGCCACGCAGGGAAGAGCTGCACTTAAAAATAAATGGTCTTTTATTGTGTCCACGAAAACCAAGCCGGTGGCCTGTGGCTAGCTCCATGAAGAGCTACAAGGAACAGGAGGCATGCCGTGGCCCACACTCTCTCCAGAAGGGCCTTGCTCTCCTGGGCCTAAGGGTCAGAGGCCAGCACGGCCAGGAGGCTCCAGAGGACAGCCTACTGGGTACGCCGTCCAGAGGGACAGACCGCTGCCTCCCTGCGGGGCGAGGCGGGACGAGGCGGGGGAGCCAGCGCGGGCCAGGCCCTGCACCCCAAGCTAGAATACACACCCAGCCCCCAGCCACCCCCAGCAGACACGGCTAGGGCAGCCTCAGCCAGGACCGAGAGCAGCTGCCGGGCGCGAGCTGTGCGAGGCGCGGCCTCAGGGCTGCGTCCAGAAGGGGTTGCCGTCCTCGGCCTGCATGGAGTAGTACACGAAGAGCAGGAAGGCGGCAAAGACCAGGAACAGGAGCAGCTGGCCCCAGAGCGGGACCTGGCGGTCCTGCCCCAGGTCAGCCCCCGGCGCCGGCTTTTCAGGGCGGATGGCACGGCGGGCCAGCCACGAAGTGGGGGGAGGTGAGGACACGGGAGAGGAGGAAGATGGCGGATAGTAGGACAGGCCCAGGGAGCCTCGAGCCACGCTGGAAACCGGGCGGTAGTGCGCGATGCTCTGGTAGGTGCTGTCCCGGCCGTAGGCTCGGCGCTCCCTGGGGCAAAGTGGGGCCTGCGTCAGCCAAGCCGGGCCCAGGCCAGCCTGGCCCCCAGCCCTGCCCACTCACCTATCCTTGCCCTCTTCTTCAGGAGAGAAAAGGCTGTCGTCGCGCACCTAGAGAAGATCAGGGCGTGGTGGCCAGTTGCAGGGACTTGTAGCCCCCGCGTCCTCGCCCCCTTCTGGCCTGTTCTGCCCACAGCTCGCAGGCTAGGCCCTGGGGCCCTCCCGACGTCAGGAGTGCCCTGGCCAGCCCCTCCTCTCAGGAGCAGGACCCTGTCCAGGCCTCACAGGCCCTGGCCAGAGCTGACACGGGCCAGGGCGCCCAGAGAGGCCAGAGCAGCGCCCCAGCTCTCCGCCCAGTGCCTGACTGCTCCAGCTCAGGCCAGCCGCACCCCAGGGCCCTGCTGTCCCTCACCTGGCGGTGGAAGGTGTCAGCGCCTGACAGCGAAGTGGCTGCGGGCTGGCGGAGGCCCCTGGGGCCCGCGGCCTCGGGCTCCCCATAGGTCCTGGTGCTCTGGTAACTCTCCTCGTAGTAGTCGTCGTTAAAGCCTGGGGAGGGGCAGGGAGGTGGAGGAGCCTCGGGCGTGTGCCCTGCTGGCCTGCACCAGCCTGGGGTCCTGGGGACCGCGAGGGCGAGGTGAAGGGGTCAGGGAGGCGCCCCCTTACCCTTGCTCTGGTACAGCAAGGCGTCCTCCTTCTTGGGCAGATCATACATGTCCGAGTCCACGGGGGCGGAGTCGAAGTCTAGGGGGGCAGAGCCATTTGCCCCCCCACTCCTACCCCTCCCTCGCCCCCCTCGCGCCGGTGGCCGGGCCCCCCCTCGCCGCCCAAACCCACCCGGCTGTCCAGGTGGGGCTCCGGGGCGCGGGCCTCACCCGAAAGCCGGTAGGAGAACGGCGACGCGGCCGAGTTCGGCGGCGACAGCCTCCGCCGCTGGGTCTCGTACTCGAAGATCTTCTTCTCGTAGAGCTTGCGCGTGGAGCCTGCCGGACGCGAGGGCGCGGTCAGAGGCGCCCGCCCGGAGC